AGGGCTGGGGGCTGTGCCCGGCCCCCCACCCTTTTGGCAGCAATGAAGTGGCACCGGAGGGCACATGTGGCAGCTGTTTATTGCTCTGGGTGCTGTACCCCGACTTCTTCCTCTGGGGTGGGGCTGGAGCCGCTGCAACCGCCTGCTCCCGGGGTGTCCCCTCTGTCACCATCCTGCCAGCCCTGCCGTGGTGGCAGCCCCGGGGCTCCACTGGCTGGGTTCCCCAGGGCTGTGTCACAGCCCTGGAGTGGGGGTCCCCCCCGCTCCCGCTGGGTGAGGGTCCGGCGATGCTCCAGGATGGCTGCCCAGAGGCGGTACGCTGGCCCACGCCTGCTGGGGCAAGGAGGGTGTTGGAGGGAGGGGACTAAGCTGTGACCCCCCCTCGCAGTGCTGCCACCCCACTCTCCCCACCCCAGCCAAGCCAGGGGGAACAGCGCAGCCTGGGGGTACCTGATGCCCGTGTAGAAGAGGTCATCAGGGGTGGCACAGCCCAGCAGGTCCCGGAGGGTGAAGTCGTGGGAGAGGAGCTGTGGGGAGTGGAATGGGTGTTGGGGGGCAATGCTGTGGGGGTGCTGCCCCACTCACACCAGTGGAGCCTGACCCCTACGCCCCTTATAGCTCCATGTGGCCAGTGGCCATGGGACTCACCGTGGCCATGGTGGCCACGTCTGTGCCGTGCCGCTGCAGCCACTCGAGGAGGAGGGGGTCAGCCCGTCCCGGGGAGTGCTGGGGGCTTGGGGATGAGCAATCCTGCCCTGGGGTGAAGCACCCTGGGGGGGCCTCCCCATGCTCCCCCCTGCACTGGGACTGGCTGGGGATGGCGGTGTCATCGTCCCCTGAGCGAAGCACCTGCTGCATCAGCCGCTGCCACTCCTGCTCCTTCTCGGCCAGCTCCTGGAGCAGCCTGGGGGAGAGTGGAGCACCGAGTGGCACCCGGGGGGGGGCACGGACTGGCACCCTGGGTGGGGCACAGATTGGCACCCGGGGAGATGGAGGCACGAGGAGCAGTGGAGCCCTACCTGCCCGTCTCCATGCGGAGGTGGCAGAGCTGTGCCACCAGCGCCGAGGATGCCTGCAGGGAGGGCAGGGGGTCTGCCCAGGTGCTGAGCCCCGATTTAGTGCTGAGCCCCGAATTGGGGCTGCCCCGCTGGGGTCGACTCTTGGGGATGGGCAGCCTCGGTGGCACGGGGTCATCTTCGTCACTCGTGCCCTTGGGGCTGTCCCCTGCCAGGCAGCTGGCCTTCGGTCCCAGGTCTGTGGGGGCAGAGGCAGTGCTGGGCCCAGGGAGGTGCCTGATGGCCTCAGACCCCAGAGCACCGGTGACAAAACAGGGAGCTGGGCCCAGTGCGGGCTCCCCCCTCACATCCCTTTCCCAGCGCCCCAAAATCCCCCAGCCCACCCTGGAGGGGTGATGGGACCTGGACCCATGTCCTGGCCATCCCCCAGTGCCACCCACCTCTCACCAGCATGGGGAGAGCTGCCTGCACCGCCTGGCTCACGGCATCATCCAGCGCAAACATCCAGTGGGGTTTGATGAGGTGCCGGCGCAGCACCCGTCTCACCTGGAAGGGGCAGAGCATTGCCAGGGCATCGCCATGCCAGGGCATCACCCACACAGCACCCTACCGCGCCAGCCCGGGCACTCACCGCTGCCTGGAAGGCAAAGAGGGGAGCCTGGAGGTGGGAGAGGCTCAGACCCTCTTCCCGCAGCCGGCTCTGCAGTGCCAGGAGGTCCTGGCACAGCTGGTGCTGGCTGGGGCACTGGATGTAGCTCCGCAGGCAGCTCAGCAGCTGGGCGAGATGCTCCGAGTCCAACCTCGCCCCCGCCGTGCTCTGGGTGGGCAAGGGAGATGCTCAGGTGGTGCCACCGTGCCCACCCTCCACCCCTGGGCACCCAGCACCCACCTGGCTCTCCTCCAAGGCAGCGATGATGCCCGGCGCCTCGGCGGTGAGGACGCGGTGCAGCGTGGCCCGGCGCTTGCTGTCCTTCCGCAGGAGGAACCCGGCCCCGCTCTCCTCGGGGGAGGACGAGCGCAGGCTGTGGTCGGAGCCAGCCGAGCTCTGGGCAGTGCTGGGGGGAGATGGGCAGGGTTGGCACTGCCCCCCCCTCAAAACTTGGGCATTTAGGAGTGTGGCCTCGGGGTGCCAATGACTTGGTAGAGGGCATGGGGGACCTCCTGCAACCCCCCCCAAGCGGTAAAGGCGAGGGATGTGATGCCCTGGCATGACGAGGGGGTGCAGTGCTGGGTACTATGGGAGGCAACCCCGGGGTCCATCCATCCCCCCCCCGCGCGGGACGCCCTACCCCAAGGAGCTGCGGCTGGAGGCTGCCTTGCCACGGTGGCCCGGGAGCAGGGGGCTGCCCGCTGTGCCCCTCCCCGAGGCGTCCTGCCTGGCCGAGGAGCCTCCCCTGCTCCCATCGCTGCCCTCCACATCCCCATCCTGCCGCCCGACGTGGGGGAGATCTGCCAGGGAGATGATGGAGGTGGAGATGGTTATTTTAGCAGCTCATGTTAGGCTCCCCCCATCCTGCCCCCCCAGGACTCACCCCCCGCTGGGGGCACAGGCTGGCTCCGGGCCCTCCTGGCACCGGCGAGGAAGGGCTCCTGCAGCAGCGCGGCGGCCGTCGCCCGCTCGGCCGGGTCGGCCTGGAAGCAGCGCAGGATGAACGCCTTGGCATTGTCCGACATGGACTCGGGCACCTCCGGGTGCATCTTGAACATGCCCACCTGGAGGGGAGGCACTCGTGGGGCTGCAAAGGGACCAGCCACCCCAAAGAGGGGCAACTTCAGGGTTGGGGAACACCCCCCACCCCACCCCATCTGCTGCCCCAACCTCACGGGTACCTTGAACATCGCAGCCTGGGGGCTGCCCAGCTCGTAGAAGGGGGGCTTGCCCGTGGCCATCTCGATGACGGTGCAGCCCAAGGACCAGATATCCGCTGGCTTCCCGTAGCCCCACGGCCCCTGGTTGATGATTTCTGGGGCCATGTACTGCAGGGTACCTGGGGAGAGGATGAGGAGGGGTGGCAGGAACCTGTATCCATCACCCAAACTCTCCCAGGGTGGGTGCTCCTCCTCCCAATGCCGGCTGCAAGGATGCAGATCCCAACGTCTCCTGGTCCTCAGCATCCCACCGCCCCCAAGTTGGGGGACCCCCCCCCAGCTGCCCTTACCCGTGAAGGTCTCGGCGCTGGGGCTGATGCCCGCCAGCCGCTTGGAAGTACCGAAGTCGGAGATCTTCAGCACCCCGCTGTACGTGTTGATGAGGACGTTGTCTCCCTGGCACGGGAAGGGCACCCCAAAATAAAACCAAGCCACAAAAAGCTCCTGGAGCTCGAGCAGAGCTGTTGGGTATCACCCAGGGGTTTTGGGTACGGAGTGGCAGCTCCTGGCTCCCCAGTGCCCACCGAGATGGGGGTCAGGGGTCAGGCCTGCCCCCAGGATGGGTGATACCCCCACCCCCTCACCTTGATGTCGCGGTGCACGATGTGGTTATCGTGGAGGTAGCTGAGCCCGTCGAGGATCTGGCGAGTGTAGAAGACGATGGTGGGCTCGTTGTCCTTCAAGGGTCCCCACTTGGAGCGCAGCAGGGATGACAGGCTCCCTGGAGAGGGGGCAGGACCCCCGTTTAGGCCACACATACAGCCATGTGTCCCACTTTGACTCCCCAAAACCCGTCCCCAGCGCTGCCCACCTCCCGGCACCTCCTCCATGAAGATCTTGATGAAGCCATCCTGGCTGATGGAGCCCAGGTACTGCACGATGTTCCTGTGCCGCAGGTGCTTGTGCAAGGCGATCTCCTCGTGCAAGGGCTGTGAGTACCTGCATGGTGGGGGGACACCGGGGTGAGGGGCTGTGCAGGGTCCCCCCTCGGGCCCCCCCCGTATGGCACCTACCGGCTGTCCCGCTCTGGGATCTCCTTGATAGCGATGCGCACTTGGTTGCTGAGGCAGCGCCCGGCGTAGACGACCCCGTACGTCCCCCTGCCCAGGACCACCCGCTCGCCCGCCTCTGAGTACTCGTAGCTGTACTGCGGGCAGAGATGTGGGGTGGCAGCCTGTGCCACCCGCTGTCCTCTGTCACCCCATGTCACCCCGTGTCCCCATCTTACCTCCAGGATGGGCTGCGTGGGGCTGGGCACCTCCTCGCTGCCTGCTGCCTGCTCAGCCAGGAGGGACTGGATCTGGTCACAGAACCTGCCAGTGGAAGGATGATGGTCCTGAGCCCCACGGAGGGTGCTGGGGACCCACTGGCCCCCTGCACAGAGGGGATCCTCCTCCTCCTCCCAGTCTGTCCCCCACCAGTGGCACAAGGGGGGCCTGTGCTTTGTGGAACCCAGCTGCAGGGCTTGTGTCCCTAGGACACCCCCAAAATTAACAGAGGGAAGAAATTGCATGTTCCCATCCCTCCCTGCTCACCAGGGCAGGGGCTGAGGGTCCCCATGCCCCCACCAGCAATGTGGGGGTCCCTGAGGCCCCCAGCCCTCCACTCACCACTGGCAGTGCTGCTGGGAGGGGAAGTAGAGCTGGAAATCCTCCTCCACGTGCATCACGTAGAGGAAGCAGCCTCGTTCGTCAGACTTGCAGATGCTGGAGGGAGAGGACCCCTCTCTCCGTCAGCACCAGGGCTGGTGGGATGGGCAGAGGGGCTGAAGGGACGTGGGGTCACCCTTGGTCCTGCTGGCCAGGGGACCAGGGACACACTCACCTGACACCCCGGATATCTGTGGCCGTGAAGGTCCAGCTCGATGCCACTTTCTGCAGAAAAGTGGGTTGGTGGGGACCAAGGTTGGTGGGGACCCTCCAGCCCCCCTCCAGCCCCATCCCTACCTCCTCTGTGGGGCAGAGAAGGGCAAGTGTCAGGGTGGGCTCCTCCGTGCCACCGTGCAGTGCCAGCCGGGCCGGCTGTAGGACCTTGCTCAGCTCCAGGACCAGGACCTGTGGCAGTGAGGGGGTGTGGGGTGAGCCCCCCCCCCCCCTTGGTGCCTCCCCAAACCCCCGGTGAGCCTGGACCACTGGCTGGTGGCCGGGGGTCCAGACAGGAGGGGGTGGGCTCCGAGGGGCCCCTCACCGGGCAGTGTGACGTGGCAACAAAGGGCTGGCATGCCTCGAGGAGGAAGCCCAGCCAGAAATCAGCCAGCTCCTGCCGGGTGGAGGGGACCTGCGGGCTCCTCTGGAAGTGTTTGTAGAGCAGGAAGGTCTCCATGACCGAGACCAGGTACCTGCAGGGACGTGGGGGCCAAGAGAGAAGAGAGAGATGTCCCCAGCACCCCCCAAAACCCCCTAAACCCCCTCCTGGGGCACAGACACCAGGGACTGGAGACACAGTCTCGCCCAGGCGGGTGTGTGCCGCGCCATGCCGTACCAGCCGGGTGCGTTGAGCTTGTAGAGCTTCTCAGAGGCTTGGATGACTTTGCCTAGGTCGTTGGCCAAGATGCCGGCTCCGAGGCAAAACCCCACGTCCCAGTAGTAGCGCAGCTCCTCTGGGCTGCCCTTGCGACCCTGGAGGCAGCTCAGCTTCACCCCTGAACACGGGAGCAGGAGGAATCCATCACCCCTCCACCAGCAATGGGGTACAGCTGCTCTGGGGGTGCCCCAATGCCAGTGGACCCCAGTGCCTGGTCCCCATCCCTGGTGGGTCCTTGTCCCCGACCTGTGAGCGGGCACCCACCGATTTGCTGCAGCTGCACGGAGGTTTCAAACTGGTGACCAGCAGCCACGAGGAGGACGGCAGCGTTGATGCCTGCATGGAGGCTGGGCTCCACCTCAAAGGCTTTGTTGTACCTGGGCAGAGATGCTGGGTGGAAGGCACAGCCACTGCCACCCCCCCGACAGCCAGAACACGGCTGCTTTAGGGTCCTGGAGCTGCCCCCTATGATGGGGGAGCGCTCCCAAACCAGAAAAAAACCCTAAAAGAAGTGGAAAAAATAAAAGCCGAAAGGAATTGGCATCACCTGCCTCTGCGTTGCTGCTGGAGGGGGTTGAGCGTGGGGCTGTGCTAGTCAGAAACCCCCCAGAGCCCCTGCAAACCCCCCCCGGATGGGGACATGGGCAGGCAGGTGGCCCCCAACCTTGTCCCCAGCCTCACCAGTACAAAGCCCGGTCCCTTGTCTCGGTGTCGGTGAGGCCGGAGTCGATGAACATGTCCTTGTAGATGCGACCACACAAGCAGAGGAGGTCGGGCGCAGCCCCCTCCCCGCGCTCCACCACGGGCAGCAGCACCGACAGAGCCTTCTCCCGGTCCCCGGCACGGTTACGCCTGCGCACACGCGTCCGGCGCTTGGCAAAGGGCACCACCAGCACGGCCCTTCGAACCCCTGACCCCCCCTCAGCTCTATCCCATCGGGATGTTCCCGGGTCGGGGGGGTGTGTGTGTGTCCCCACCCCGGCCCGTCACCGCTCACCGGCTGAGGGCGAAGGCGTAGTGGAAGCAGACGTTGTGCTGCTTGGCCACGGCACAGGCCGGCAGCGCCTGGAGGGTCTCCACCAGCGAGACGATGGCATCGTAATCCTGCGGGGACAACGGCGGGGTTGCCCATCCCCACCTCTGTGGGGTGATGTTGTCCCCAGATCGGACAAGCCCTGGGGGTCACAAGCTCCCCTGGGATGCTGGTATGGCCCCCAGGACCCCCCCCAGCCCTGACCTGCACGTCACGGTAGGAGAGGAGGAGGTTCACCACGATGTCCAGGCTGAGCAGCTCCACGCTGTCCAGGCGCTGCTGGATGCGGGCCAGCTCCCGGCTCAGCTGCTCCCCCCGGTACATCTCCCGTGCCCGCCGGATATCCCGCTGGATCAGCTCCCGGAAATACCCGCTGGGGATGGGGGGCAGAGGTGTGGAGCTTTTGGGGTGGTGATGATTTTCCGCCAAGCCCTGCCAGCCCAGCTGGGCACGGGGGTTTGCCCGCAGCCGGAGGGGTGGGCAGCAGTACCAGGAGTTGGTGGGGATCCCCTCCAGCAGCTGGATGAGGCGGGCTGCCAGCGGGGTGAAGGCAGCCTCCGGCTCAAAGCTGGGCTGGAAAAGCTCCGTCAGGCCCTTCATGGTCCCAGTGTCACAGCAGATGACCTTGTTCTGGGGGGTGACCGCATAGGGGATGAAGGTGTAGCTGCCGCAGAGGTCCTGAGGGAGGGGAGAAGGGGTGAGCAGCTGTGCCAGCCAAGCTGAGAGCCCCTCTACTCGTGTCATGCACCAGCCCCGCCGCCCCAGGCCTGTCCACAGTGCCCGGACCACACAGACCGCGCTAACACAGCCACCCTCCATCAGGCATTAGCAAGGAAAGGCAAACCAGCTTTATCTCTGAGTGCCATCATCATGCTCCAGAACGAACACTCCCGGTGCTTTTAAGACCAGGTAGCACCCTCCATGCTGCTGTGCTATGAGGGAGTGACATCCCCCCCAACTCAGATTTGGGGAGAGGTCTCGCTCCCTGTCTGCAGTGTCCACCCTCTGAGGCTGAAGAGAGGCAGCTCAGGGGGAGAGGGGGGCTCAAACCCCCACGGCACCGCGGCTGCAAGTGCAGGAAAAAGAGACGCACCGAGTTCTTCTGGCAGATGTCTTCCTGGGGAGAGAGGGGAGGAGGAGGGATTTAATGAGAGTCCCCGGCAAAAGAAATCAGCTGATTTCAGGCTCAGGGATCCGAGTTACCTGGAAAACAGCCAGGGACAGCAAGGGACACCAGGGCTGAGCCGCGAGGGCAGCTGGTCCCCCTGACACCATGAGCATCGCGTGTGGACCCCCCCACCCCGGGCAGGGCTGCAAACACAGCCCCACCGCCGGCACAGGAAAGGGGTCTCTGAACGGGCGCCTGAGGCTCCCCGGGGTCAGGGCAGTGTTTGGGGACAATTTGGATGAGCTCCCAGCCACATTTTTTTTTTCCCTCGAGCAGTGAGATTCCTTCCTGCCAGCCCCCTCCATGCGGAAGGTTTTGCTACCAAGGAATAGTTTTTCCCCAGGGAAAAGCGCCTGTTCCCAAATTCCTGGCCAGTTGGGGCCAGGGGAGCATCCAGCACCCCGCACCCAGCTCTGGGGCTCAGCGGGGTCCCCAGTCACCCCCTCCTCATCCCAGCCAGGCACGGGGAAATCTCTGCCAGAGCAGAACGCGGCCGTGGGAACACAGAGCAGGGGATGGAGATTCCTCCACTTGCCGGTGCGGTTGCTCCAGGCGCTTGGGGCTATTCCCACCCTGGAACAGCAGCACCTGGGGAGGGCCGAGGTGTCCCTGTCCCCATACCCGCTGACCTGCAGGGCCTGGAGGGGGGGCAGCTCGGCCTGGCAGCACAGCAGGACATTGTGGGACATGTTGAAGCTCTCGCGGATGCCCAGGTGGTAGAAGAGGGAGGGCTGGCAGATGGCGTTGCTCAGCTCCACCACGGCCACATCTGTGGGCAGGACCAGAATATTCCAGACTCTGAATTCATGGGGTAGAGGAACCAGCCCCCCTCCCCAGGTTTGGGGGGGGTCTTTATCCCTATTGCCATCACAGCAAGGCCACAGAGAGGGGCACCCGCTTGTCCCCCTGGCACGGGGTTGAACCCTGAGCAAACTCTCCACAAAAACCACCCTTCCCGAAATCCCACGCGCGGGTTTAACGTCAGGGAGGAAGATATCCCGGCAAACAGCCAACCACCCTGGAAAGTAAACAGAAGGAAGGCAGAAAAGCAAACAGCAAACCACCCCAGCATGCAGCCTGGAGCCACCCGGGGCTGAGGGAAAGCCTTGGCCCAGATAATCCCAGATAACTGGGATAACCAGGGAGAACAGAATCACAGAATCATCGAGGTTGGAAAAGCCGTTGTAGATCCTCCAGTCCAACCATGACCCTCACCCTGACCGTTCCCAACTCCCCCAGATCCCCCAGCGCTGGCTCAGCCCGACTCTTCAACCCTCCCCAGGGATGGGGACTCCCCCCTGCCCTGGGCAGCCCATTCCAACGCCCAACAGCCCCTTCTGCACAGAAATCCTTCCTCAGAGCCAGCCTGACCCTGCCCTGGGCAGCTTGAGGCCATTCCCTCGGGGCCTGGCGCTGGCTCCTTGGCTCCAGAGACTCATCCCCCCTCTCTGCCCCCTCCTGGCAGGGAGTTGCCGAGGGCCAGGAGGTCTCCCCTCAGCCTCCTCTTCTCCAGACTGAACCCCCCCAGTTCCCCCAGCCGCTCCCCAGCAGACCTGTGCTCCAGACCCTGCCCCAGCTCCGTTGCCCTTCTCTGGCCACGCTCGAGTCATTCAATGGCCTTTTTGGGGTGAGGGGCCCA